CATCTCAAACTCATTTCTCAAGATCACTGTGTGTATCCAATTTAGAGTTTAGAGTTTCTCATTTAATAGAGTTTATATCCCAATCGCTATTTATCAAGCAGCCTTGAAACTGAAATGATTTATTCAGCAAGACCCTTTTCTTATCCCATTTCATAGGTATACTAATTTGGTTTAATTATCAACTGTAAATGTGGTAAGATTAGAAAATTTAGCAATTTTATGGTAGAAACATTTTACTATGCCCTATTTAATAATGAGATAGGGGCACAATCATTTTCTTAAATTGTAAAAAAGCAATTGCAACTTTTTTGTATGTAAAACTCAAGCCAATCCCAAACTGTACATCTTCAGTGAAAGGTTGTGTGGTTCATATTATAACTTCAACACACATTGACCCACTTAAATTAGTGGGGTGATTCTCTGTAATGGATTGCACTGGACACTGCCCTCGGTTTGGAAAATAATCACACAAGCTATGAGCAGAAATTTGAGATCTGTTTTTACTATAAAAATTACTTGAAGATGGTATTTAGCCTGCTGGTTAAGGCGTCTGGGCCCCACATGGAAGTGCCTGGGTTTGATTCCCAGCTCTGGCTCCCAATTCCAGCTTCCTGCTCCTGGGAGGTAGCACTGGTGACTCAAGTAGTTGGCTACCAGCTTCAGCCCAACCTAGTTTTGGCTGTTGTGGCATTTGTCTATCTTTTTTTTTCTCTCTCTGTCTCTCTGCCTCATAAATAAATAAAATTCTTCAGGTAAGGAGCTTAACACCCATTTTAATAATAATAATAATAATAATATTGTGAAAGGAAAACGCTTCAGTTTCAGCTGATGAACACGTTTCTGCACACACGTTGGTGCTACATCTGCGTACACACACCTACACATGTGACAGGCCTGACTGCAACAGAAGCTCCTAAGCCCCTCCTACTCCTCTCTGCTCCAGCAGTTGCCCCTGTCTAGCAGGATCTATTGACAAGGCCCCTTCTGGACACTTGCTGACAGGGACAAGGAGCTTATGGGTTTTGAATGGAAAGGATTTGCTAAATAAAGCTTAAATCCCAGCCTTCACCCCTCCCTCCCAGAGGTCAGGGCACTAAAGGCCTTGGTAGCTATGGCGATCGCAAGGTGAACCATTGAATTATTGACATCTTTGAGCTTGTTGCTGGACACTGATCCCCAGTTAAACCCAGTTAGGAAATTAAACTCATGCAATTATGTTTTCAAAACGAAAATGCAGAGTGAGAAAGCTTCTTCTTTTTTTTTTTTAACAGTCATATAATTTGAGGTTTGTGCCTCTCTGGTCCATTGTCAAATACTGATTATCTTCTAATTTAAACATCAACACATCATCCTGGTGAAATTAAGGCTGCCAACTGCCAAAGCTCATTTTCTTCTATGAGTTAATTCTATTTAACTTAAGTTTGTCAGCTAATATGACATGCCATATATTTAAATGTCTTTGTTTTCCTTTTCATTTTTTTCTGTGGGTCTAACATATGATTTATTTATTTCATAATAATCACTAAAATGAACATAGTGGCTAAAAAGCGAAAAACACTCTTTTAGGATAAGATTGGCCTTCTTTGGATTTGCTTTTCAAATGGAATGATCTTATCTTATGAAATTCTGATTGTTGCTCTTAGTCTATTCATGTCTTTGAACTAAGCTGACCCGCTGGCTCCTATTTTGGCTAACAACCTTTCAAAAGCAGGGAACTTCAGATCTCACAGGATTCCTTCAGAATAAGTGGCTTTTAGATGGCTTCATTTCTCATCATCTCTCACTTCCTGATTCACTTCTGGTACTGTCTCAATATTATTGGTTTTTGACCTCTAGCACTTCCTAGGGTGAGCTGAATTATCACAGAGCTCCTTTGCATGTAAACAGCAACCAACTTGGGTTTGCCTGAGCAAAATGCAGAAGTTATGGTTCCTGCTATGGTTTGAATGGCTGTGCCCTCTCTAGAATTCATGTTGAAGCTTTATTCTCCAGTGTAGTAATATTGAAAGGTAGGGTTAGGAGGTGATTAGGGTCAGCCTGAAGTCCTGTGAGAAAGAAATTTTTCTTGCTTATAACCGTTCCAACCTGTGATATTTTGTTATAGCAGCACAAAAACAGTTCCTCCAAACATGGGAAGGTCAAGAGTAACAGGAAAAAAAGGGTCATAGGCCAACAGGGCTGGCTTTATCTCCCTTTCTCCCCATGTCAGTGTGGTTCTCTCAGGAGGCTAAGGACTAATTGCTGTGGATTCAGGGATATGCTCTTAGAACTTGAGTACCTGACAGGAAAAGGCTTTAGTTTTGGGTTCTTGACTATCAGTGACCCCCCCGAGGCTCTTGTCATGAGCTGCCAAAGCTTTGAAAGCCATTTGACTCCACAAACTCTGTCAGTATTTAGATAGGGCCATAAGCAAAGTAGAAGTTCTTTCCTCCCTTCTTTAATGGCTCCTGCTTTCCACTGGGATCTCACTCACAGAGATCCTTCATATAGATAATGTTGTGCCGGTGTCTTGGCTTTCCATGCCTGAAATGCTCTCATGGGCGCAAAAGGTCTCTAAGCTCATCTTGGGTCAGCTATCTGTTTCTCTTGGCCATCATTGTGAGAAAGAAGGGACAGTCATATTGGCAGATGCCTATGGCCATTTCTGCTTCACAGAGGTATGTATGCAGTGAGAAGAGGAACTTTCCCTGCAAGGAAGAAGAATGTTGTTACCAGAGTAAAGACAGAATATCAGACCCCCAAAACTACTAATGTTCACAAAACAAATTTATACTTACCTAATCTCTAAGTTAAGTCATGGACTTTAGAGTAAGACTTGAGTGAGTTCAAACCCCAGGTCTGATGCTTGCTGATTTCTTTGACAAGCCATTTACTCTTTTTGAGCTTCTATCTCCTCATCTGCAAAATGGGAGTAGAATATTTAATTCCTAGGTTTGGAGAAATTACATGAAATAATGGTCATTGAATACTCAAAAGATTGCCTATAGAAAACACTTAAAAACTCTAATTGTTATGCGTTTTTAGTTGCTGATTATTCTAATCACAACTTTGTTAGGCAGTTTGCTGCCTTTAATTCCTACCAGAATTTTCCAAGGCCTCTCAAGGAATATTTATGCCTATGCAAATTTGTTCACTACCAAAAAGATCATTATAATAAGAAAGCAATACCATTGTTATTGGATTTGTATATAAGTAACAAAATAAAGCATGCTTTATTATAAATAAAATAATTATTGGGGGGTAGGTGCTGTGTCACAGCAGGTTAAGTCCCTGATTAGGATGACCGCACCTTTTATTGGAGTGCCTGTTTGAATCTTAACTGTTCCACTTGCAATTCTGCTCCCTTTTCCTGCTCCTTGTAAGCAGTGCATGATGGCTCAAGTACTTGAGTTTTTGCCAATCACATGGGAGACCTGGATGGAATTCCTGGCCCCTGGCTTCAGCCTGGCTCAACCCTGTCGTGGCTATTTTGAGAATGAACCAATGGATGAGAGTTTTCTCTGTGCATTTCCCCCTGTCTATATTTCTGACTTTCAAATAACTAACTTACTAAATAAATAAATATTTAGAATTTTTATTTAATGAAAGGCTAACTTTGTGATTATAGAGTAAATTGAAAGTATGTCATTATAAAAATTAAAAGAAATATAAAGTAAGAAGGAGGGAGGCTGGGAGTGAGGGAGGCTAGGGTGAGAAGTATCATTATGCTCTTAAAACTGTACATAAAATACATGAAATTTGTTCCCTTTATAAATAAAAAATTTAAAAATAACTGTTAAGCACTTAATACATACGATACTCAGAATTTTGTTGTTTGCTTTATGAAATCTCAAGGAAATTAAAGGTATGGGTCTTTTCCTGGAAATTTCTTTTGGGGTGATGTCTAACATACATACAACAATCAAGAAATTACTTGACCCATGGGATGCTCAGTTTTATGTTTTGACTTGACTGGATTAAGAAAGACATGGATGGATAATAAAACATTATTTCTGGGTGTATCTGCGAGATTGTTTCCAGGAGATGATAGCGTTTGAACAGACTGAGCATAGTAGTTCCCCTGACCAACATAAGCAGTCATCGGTAAGTCCATGGAGGACATGGATACAACAACAAAATAGAAAGAGCGATTTTTTTTCTCTTTTCTTGGGTATGACATTGATCTTCTGCTGTCCTTGGGCACTGTCTTCCTGGTTCCTTGGCCTTTTTGTTTGTGCCAGAACTAACCATTGGCTTTCTGAGCCTCCAACTTGCAGCATAGATCATAGGATTTTCAACCTGCATCATTATATGAACCAATGCTTGATACAGAATCTCTTTCTAAATATCTATTTTATATATCTCTCTTTCTATCTGTCATCTCCTGTTTATTCTGCAGTTCTATAGAATCTTGACAAATACAGGTTGTATAATCAAAAGCTGATTTGGAACACACAGTATGAGTCAAGACTGGGAAAGATACAAGTATTTAATTGGCTGGAGAGGATTTCAATTTGAATCTGAAGAAAGAGTAATATTTATTAGGATAAGGATAATCATTCCAGGCTAGGTGAGTTTCAGGAAAAAATGACAGAAGCAGAATAGGTCAAGACATTGAGCTTTTGGGAAGATGTTGTCCCCTCCCACCTTACAACACATTTACACATAGTATACCCTCAAGACTATATGACAGGTAAAGTGGCTTTATCAGTGGTCCTAGGAGCAGAAATATAAAGCAGAAGGAAATATACTAATGTGTGTGGATATGTGGAAGAGGATAATAGTTGAGTTAATAGTCAGACCAGGGAAATATATAATGTGAAACATTAAATAAAAGAAAATATGAGGCCAAATGTACTAATACTTTTGGTGACTAAGATATTATAGAAATTAAGGTCACTGGAATAAAAGAGGCAAGGATCCACGTATATGGGGTTGTGGAAGAGATGCTGAAGTCCTGGATGACAAGGACATGTGTTGAGGTAAAGAGGACTATGATCCAGTTGCTGATGTCATAGAGGAAAGTTTGACCTGCAGTTGCTCTGAGGTTGGTAATAAAGAGTAGAGGCAGAAATGAGGGAAAGAGGTAGGGTGCACCTGACAGTGAATGCATGGCTTCCACGCTGAAGTAAGGAACTAAGAAAATGCCAACCCCTCCCTTTCATCCAGTAAGTTGGGGACGAAGAGTATGGATGGGAAAGGAAGATTCCTCTCTTGGATTTGATAGAGAGGAATGAGTGAAATCAGGTCATTAAAGGAGAATCAAGATTGGGTCTTAGCAAACTGATGGCTAAAATTCAATTACAGATGTTTTGCCCACCAACAAATAGGATATCCAAACAGAATACTAAGAGTTATTGCAGAGCCAGCGCCATGGCTTAGCAGGCTAATCCTCCGCCTTGCGGCGCCGGCACACCGGGTTCTAGTCCCGGTCGGGGTGCCGGATTCTGTCCCGGTTGCCCCTCTTCCAGGCCAGCTCTCTGCTGTGGCCTGGGAGTGCGGTGGAGGATGGCCCAAGTGCTTGGGCCCTGCACCCCATGGGAGACCAGGAGAAGCACCTAGCTCTTGCCTTCAGATCAGCGCGGTGTGCTAGCCGCAGCGCGCCGGTCGCGGCGGCCATTGGAGGGTGAACCAATGGCAAAGGAAGACCTTTCTCTCTGTCTCTCTCTCACTGTCCACTCTGCCTGTCAAAAATAAAGAAAAAAATAAATAAATAAAAGAGTTATTGCAGGAGAAACCAAAATTAAGCAGAGTTGAGGAGAGGGGACAGTCTGGATAAGAATAGGTCTGTAAGAGTGGTTCCCTTACTTGCCCTTGAAAGGGTAGCTGAAGCAGTCCATCTTCTCGGAAGGCTTTCTTGACTCTCATCTCTCCCAAGAGTCCTTCTCCGTAGGGCCTTAGGTCTGAATACTTACAAATCTCCATTGCAATTCTTGGTTTCCTCATCTGCCTCTTTTCCTGCACTATAAGCATCTTTAAAGGCTTGTGTCTTTTTCATCTTTGTGTATTCAACCCTGACAGGGCCTGGGCATAAACAATGCATAAGATATCTTTTGAATGAAGAAGTGAGTAAAAGGAGGGTGGCGGAGATCTATGCCTTTAGCATATCACTCTGTGAACTTCACCCATGCTCCTGGCTCTGTTTGCTGAGCTGACTTTCTATCAGTATCTAGAACAACACTATCCAATGTAAATATAATGTGAGTCATGTAATGTCCTTTCCTAGTGGACACAGCAAAAAAGAAACAAGTAAAAGTAACTTTAATAACAGATCTTATTGAACCAAATCCATTGAAAAAATCATCATTTTAACATAATCAATAGAAAAATTATTGACATGGTAACTTTCATTCTATTTGTTATTACTATCTTTCAAGTCTGGTCTGTATTTTACACTTAGGTCACATCTCAGTTCAGACTGCACACTGAACTGTTAAATAGCAGAAAAACCATCTAACTCTAAAAAATTATGTATTTTAATACATCATCCATAAAAGATCATACACATATCTTCCAATGAATTCAATTTTTATGTCCCTCCCAACTTCAAATGTAGAAATTCTGCCCTCCAAGGCTTTATGGCATTAGGTCGGGAGGCCTTCGAGATGTTATTAGGTCATGAGGAACCTCCATGAATGGGATTAGTGTCCTCCTAAAAGAGAACCCAGAGAAATTGCTTGCTCTTTCCACCACGTGTGGATACAGTGAGAAGGCATCATTTATGAACCATAAAGAAAGACTTCCCCAGACACTTACTCTCCTGGTGACTTGATCTTGGGCTTCCAAGCTTCTGGAACTGTGAGAAGCGAATTTCTGTTGTTTATATACCACTCACTTATGGTACTGTTATAGTACCCAAATGGACAAAGACATACAATGTACGTACACTTGTAAATATTTATGTATATTATATATAGAAATAATATAGAGATTAACACAATGGAAGCTTAGTTCTCTCATAGTCAAGCTGCTCTCTGACATTTGGAATGGAGAAGAAAGGTATGGAGAGTATGCAGGATGTTTGTAAAGTCCAGGCCACAAAAATTCCACTGGCTTGATTTAGTCCTATGACCCCACACAGGTGCAAGGAAAGCTGACAGACGCAGTCTTCCTGTGGACCCAGACAGAATAATGTGCAAAGCACATTTCATTGTCTCTGACATTATTTTATTTCTTTGCTTCCTAATTTTTGTTTGGAATCCATAGAAAAACATTAAATATGAAATAAGTGACAAAAAGGACATTTAAGTTTTATTCCTGATGATGAATTCTTTTGTTATGGTTCCATTCAACAAGATAGTAGATATTGGGTAGAGATTTATATATTGTATCATTCCAAGTAAATTTTTATACCTTCTTTGGTTAAGATTTTATTTATTTAATGATATGAGTTGAAATTTATGAAATATCTTTTTGGCAACTGTGGAGATAATATAATTTCCTTTTTGATACTTTAATATTGTGAATTATGTTAGTAGACTTCTTAAGGTTGGGTTATATTATCTTACTCCTAAGAGAGAGTCTAACAAGAGCACTTCAAAATGTTCATGAAAAAATTCATTTTGGTTCAAATATGAAATTTCTGAAATTCATGTATAGCTTTTTTTTTTTTTTTTTTTTGACAGGCAGAGTGGATAGTGAGAGAGAGAGACAGAGAGAAAGGTCTTCCTTTGCCGTTGGTTCACCCTCCAATGGCCGCCACGGCTGGCATACCACGCTGATCCGAAGGCAGGAGCCAGGTGCTTCTCCTGGTCTCCCATGGGGTGCAGGGCCCAAGCACTTGGGCCATCCTCCACTGCACTCCTGGGCCACAGCAGAGAGCTGGCCTGGAAGAGGGGCAACCGGGACAGAATCCAGCGCCCCGACCAGGACTAGAACCCCGTGTGCCGGTGCCACTAGGTGGAGGATTAGCCTATTGAGCCACGGCGCCAGCCATGTATAGCTTTTTAATAATCCGTATTTCCATGCATTTTTGATGATTCTTCTTATGGATGGAGTTTAAAATTTTTGCAGCAACATAGACATGTTTTATTTTCCATGAACGTTTAGAAGTATCCTTGTATTTTCATATATGTGTTTACAATGTTTTTGAAAAGCTGGATTATAACTGATATTACTGTATTTAAATTTTATCAGTATTCTTAAAAGATGATTGAGTGACACTTTTTTTATATTTTATGATTCATAAAGTGAATCTGGGGGCTTGTCTTTTCTTAGTCCCCTGAACTGTTGAAACATCCGAATTAATAGTTTTTGAAAGAGAGAAAGAATTCCATAGGCAGTTGCCACTGTTGCGTGCTTCAAGTAGTTGTCTCTGGATCCCTCACTGTTCCACCTGGGCAGCATCCATTACGTCACCAGTTCCTGCCATATGCTAAAATGTTGAATGAGAACGCTTCTACTACTTTCATGCATTCTTTCTGGTTCTCAGTGCTTTTTTGTCATAACAATATGTTGTGAGTTAATGCTGCTGCATCACTGAAATTGTATCAAAACTAACAAAAAATCTTTTTAAATAGTGATTCCAGTTTTTCATACGTTCTCTGCTTGAAGTCGTGAATTCTTCTCATGTATTCAGTCTTTATTACTTATCTCTGTCAATGTAATTGTAGATTAAACAGTACTCATAGGTGATATAAATAGCACTTTCGTGGGTATAGGTTCGTGGCTGTCTGGACGTGGATGGATTAATGGGTGGTGAACGTACCAGAGCAGGTGTTGTCTCTGGTATAAGTGGACCAGCAGGCAGCGTCTGCCTCTGCAGGTGACGGAGCAAGTGACTAACAACTCAGGTCTGCTGCACAGGGGTCATGTGGCATTTTGTGTACAAGCTTTATCTTAGCTACACAGAGTAATGTCTGTGTGATGGGTAGCTTTTCTGTCAGCTTTCTCGCATCACAATGAAGAGCCCCTTTTCTTCCTTAGACAACATCTTGTCTACTCTTCTCAGTGTATTAGGGGTTCCACTTTGTAGAGTTGTAGAAACTGGTCTGTCTCACTGCTCATGTTTATTCATAGTAACGGGCACGTGACTAAGTCCAACATTACCTTAAAGCTATCATGAGACTTCATCAACATGGCCCAGCTCATTGGTCCAAAAGGTGCAAAGTGATCCATGCCTGTCAATCTGCAACTCCCCTGAAAGGTATTTGAAGATTAGAGCTTAGAGGGTGCTAATGATCAGGTGTCTGACTGCAGGAAGAAAAATTTGTGGCAAAAAAAAAAAAAACAGAGCCAAGAGGGCTGAGTCCTTGGTTCTAGTAAAACCATCTCTTGCAGTGCCCTGCTTTTTTTTCCTTCAGCCGTTCAATTTCTCATATAATTTTGTGAGCTCCCCTAATAAATCTCTGTTTTTTAAAGATTTATTTATTTATTTATTTATTTGAATGACGGAGTTACAAAGAGACAGAGACAGAGACCTTGCATCTGCTTGACCACTTCCCCAATAGCTACAACAGCTAGGGCTGGACCAGGCCAAAGTCAGGAGCCAGGAGCTTTTTCTGGGTCTCCCACTTGGGTGGCAGGGGCCTAAGCACTTAAGGCATCTTCCACTGAGTTCCCAGGCCATTAGCAGGGAGCTGGATCAGAAGAGGAGCAGCCAGGACATGAACCTGTGCCCAGATGGGATGCTGGCATTGCAGGTGGTGGCTTAACCCACAAAGCCACAACATGGCCCAAATAAATCCCTGTTTTGCTCATGTCAGTTCAAGTTGGAATTCTTCAGTTTTGACCAAGAGTATGGTGAGTACAGGTACACACATACACACACACACACACACACATGTATGTGATACATGTTACCTATATCAAACCCTGGAACTTCAGCTCTTCAAGTGAGACTCTTTGCTGGTTTCCAAGACTTGAACAATATTGTTCCCTTCTATATTTGTTGAATTAGCTCAGTGGGGCGGCAAGTGGGGCAGAATCAACCACAGTGCTAAGATCATTACCTTAAACGTAGATTTATATATATTTTGATCTCTCTTAAACTTTCCTTTTATGTTAACTTTCTCCCCCACCCCTATCTTGAGACTCACTTCTTGTTACAGTTTTCTTTCTAAAATAAACAGGTTTTCCCCAAACACTAATATTGGGATATAGTGAAGCAATCAGATTCCAAAACCAGACGTAACAGGGCATCAGTACTATACAAATGTTGTTTCATAATTAAAAATTAAATATCTAGTGACTTCTTCAGTTAAACTTTTGGCATGGGGCCAGTCACAAACATTACTGCCGAGACTGGCATTACCCATCCTGGGTGGAACCCCTCCATAATCCTTGATTTTGATGCAGGTCAGTAATTCACTCAATCTTGTCCACAGATCCTTTGACTTCCACTTCAGACTTACATAAGTATGCCTCTACTCGAGCAGCTAGAAACTCTCCTTTGTCCTTGCTGGCAGGCAAAAGCTGCCAGTGATGAAAGTGAGGAAATTTGGACCCTAATTTAAAGTGCCTATTTTTTTTTTTTTTTTTTGGACAGTGAGAGAGAGAGACGGAGAGAAAGGTCTTCCTTTGCCGTTGGTTCACCCTCCAATAGCCGCCATGGCCGGCGCGCTGCGGCTGGCGCACTGCGCTGATCCGAAGGCAGGAGCCAGGTGCTTCCCCGTGGTCTCCCATGGGGTGCAGGGCCCAAGGACCTGGGCCATCCTCCACTGCACTCCTGGGCCACAGCAGAGAGCTGGCCTGGAAGAGGGGCAACCGGGACAGAATCTGACACCCCAACTGGGACTAGAACCCGGTGTGCCGGCGCCACGAGGCGGAGGATTAGGCTACTGAGCCGCGGCACCGGCCCTCACCTTTCTTCTTGAGCAGAACTATTTTCCCCCAAAAATTGATGAAAAAACAAAATTAGGATATGTAGCCTATTCTAATCAAATAGCTGGGCAGATTCTTTCTTGGAAGAAATGCTTTGTCATTGGATAGCCTTATCATTGGCAATAGCATCTTTTTTATAAAGAGTATAACACACATGGCTGATAAAGTTGCAGTGAAGTTTAACCAAGCTTAGGATCAGCCTTATAACCTTTCACTACACTTCCCTTTCTCGGTCCCTTGGTGACAGTCATTTCTGTTTTTCCTATTAAACACCTACCAACCCCAAGAATCTTGGAGCTAACTCTCTGCCTCCAACTGGTTGTCTTGCTGCAACTTTAAAACAAGACGGTTGTGAGTCCACACTAAATCTGAGTGCTCTAACACAGAGCAAGACTTCCACCAGGAGGGGAAGGCAGGCAGCCCAGGTTCCTCTGGCTCTGCTGCTCTCTGATATCACTAAGCTTGGCCTCCACCCCTCATCTCAGTACCTGCACTCACCTTCCCTCATTCATCTTGCATGAGCCTTTTTCTTATTCAGAAGTCCTTGTCTTTAGAATTGCCACTCCAAGTCCATTCCGATGTTTTTGTGAACTCTAAAATCCCATCTCTGTAACAAGACCTTTCCTGATTAACCTCATTTGGTTCCAATCCTTCTTCGGCTTTGCAATCTCTCCAAACTCTCCCACGTGTTATGGCTCTGAATGCCTCACCTGGTCTTTTCCCTCAGTTGCTCTCTGTGGGTGTGGCACAACTCCCAGCAGACTGCAAACATTTTTGGTGCATGCCCTAGTCATTGGGTGGTAACAATATGAATTCTAAAAAGTTAGCATGGGGAGCCTACTATGCTCCACACACAATGTTAAGTAATTTACTGGCAGAGTATTTAGAACCCTGTTTGCCACAGAGTAAACCACTAACACAGGTGTGCTGTTACTATTCCCAGCCCTAGGAACTTGCCATTTCACAGAGAAGGAAACTCTGAGGTACCAAGAGTAACATAGCTTGCCCAGGATCACAGAGCTCTTTAGGAGCAGAGACACACACACAATTTTCTAAGTAGACCACACCTACTAATCAATCCTTTTTGCAATAATTCCCCAGCTGTTTTCCAACTATACACTGTACCAAAGGTGGCTTTTACTTTGGGATTCCTTCTGCTTTTGAAATTCAATTGCTGCCAGCGCCGCAGCTCACTAAGCTAATCCTCCGCCTGCGGCACTGGCACTCCGGGTTCTGGGTTCTAGTCCCGGTCAGAGCACCGGATTCTGTCCCGGTTGCTCCTCTTCCAGTCCAGCTCTCTGCTGTGGCCTGGGAGTGCAGTGGAGGATGGCCCAGGTGCTTGGGCCCTGCACCCGCATGGGAGACCAGGGGGAAGCACCTGGCTCCTGATCAGTGCAGTGCGCTGGCTGAAGTGGCCATTTGGGGGTGAATCAACGGGAAAAAGAAAGACCTCTCTCTGTCTCTCTCTCTCACTGTCTAACTCTGCCTGTCTAAAAAAAAAAGGAAGAAAGAAAGAAATTCAATTGCCACAAACAAGGAGGCTTCAGAAATTTGTGGAAAATGGAATTTAAAGATGTTTTTAGTGCAATAAATTTGAAAACCACATTATTTTCAAAATATACATTTCCATAAATTTCCTGAAGACCCCCACATATGGAGAAAGTCACAAGTATTTGTAACTCCCTGTAGATTTTCATTTTGAAATTTAAAGGCCAGCTAAACATGTATCCTTAGGGGGAACAACAAGTTGTTTTTTTTTTTAAACACACCTAAGTTGCTTAGGAACTGAGTTTGTGCTTTTAAGTATTAATATGCCACTTCGGTAGCCTCTTCATCTACATTTGCTGTAGCATCCCGCAGCCACCAATAGCTCCTCTTTGCCCTGGTACAAAGAGAGAGACCCTGTCCGAGGCTGAGCAATATTCTGTCACAATATAAACGATCAATAAAATTGTTAAGAGATTTAACCCTGATCATATAACACAACTTAGTTCTTACAGTGACTTGGCGCGCATGCGCATCCCACCCTCACCTGGGCTTGGATCCTTTGCAGCTTTCCTCCCAGTCATCTGTGAGGTTGCCAAGGAGGTAGGGCCCAGGTCTACTACCCCTCCAGGGTTTCAGAGGGGCGTTCCCTTCCCTCCCATGTCTCTGGTCCTCCCTCTCACAGGCCACCTTGTCCTGTTCTTTAGCTGTCTGGGCCTGGGGTCCACTGAGTGTCTCCCTGGATTTCTGGCGAGCAGTCAGGTGACTTTTTGGCATCCTCACCAGACACCACATTGGGTGTCATAGCCTTCCCAGGAGGCTGCTGCTGGGCCCCCAGCTCCCAGCCCCGAGAAGCCACCAACCCCCTGGGCTGCACCCACAGCTCCAGCCACCCAGCATTGGCGAGGCTCCGGCTTTCCACGCCGTGAACCAACGGGGCCTGAAGACCCCTCCAGATGCAGGAGGCGCTTGGCGAAAATCCAGCCGTTTAGAAGTCCGTTTCTTACAGTTGGCAGCTGCAGCCACAGTGGGTGGTGAGCAGGCGACCCACCTGGGGCCGCAAGGCGGCTCACGTGCGCTGGCTCGCAGGATGCCGCGGGCTGGCGCCGCCTGTCCGGGGCGCCCCGCGGGCTCGCGGCTGCGGCCAGGCCCAGGGGCCCAGGTGCTGGCGAAGGAAGCAGGCGCGCACCGCGGTCCTCGCTCGGGCAGAGGCCTCCGCTCCTGGCCTGCTGCCGGCCCTCCTGCCTCCCGCCCCAGAAATGATCCCAAGCGCTGCCAGCTTGATTCCAGAGCCCCACTCGGTGCGTTCTTTTGTTTCTTTGTGTTAATGACAGTTCCCAGCCTTTCGGCATGTCATGCGCAATTACTCCCCGGGCCCTCTCCAAAGCAGCTGGGGAGAAATTGCCTCTGCAGCATCCCTTCGGGAATAATTGTTTATGATGTGACGTCAGCCGCGTTGATTTCCCCTCTTGAATGAGAGAGAGAGAGAGAGAGAAACTCACAGATGTGTGCTGAGGCCACAGAGAGTGACATTTGGAATTCCTTCAGGGCAAAAGGAGATTGGAATGAGAGCTTCAGCGTGTGCTGCTAAGATTTCAGGCTGCACGAAATTATTAAGAAGTTTTTCTTTAAAAAAAAAAAAATCTGCAGCGAGCCACTTAGGTGCTCCTTCTATCCCAGAGTCTCCCTGTTAAGGTGGCGGCGCCCGATCATTATTCTTGCGCACCCAGCCGCTGCCATACGCTTAGGACGACGAGGAGGGGCGGGGGAAGTGCGTCACCAGGTGGGGAAGGGGCTGTGTGTGCGGTGACAAACGGGAGGCCCTGGGGGGTGAGGGGAATGGGGCCGGGAAATAGGTTCTGTGCTCTCTCCGGGGGTATTGTGTCAGGAGATGCAGGCTGGCTACCATGTGACGCGGTCCAGAGCTGAAGGGATTGGCCGAGGCAGCGCAGGCGGTGCAAGCCCGGCCGGCTGGCTGTTCCTCTCCCTTTCTCTCTCAGCATCTTTCCCCGGGAGCCTGTAGGTGAAGCCGCACCAGCAGCATCCATGGGCTGCCTTTCGGGTTAACACTTGTCTCCTATGGTTTCTGCAGCGCCGACAGCCGACCTCAGCAGCAGCAGCCTTGGGAGGACTTAGCTGGGACCTGGATTCCTAACCCTCCTGTGTTTTTTCTCGGACTCCTTGGAAATTAAGGAATGCAATTCTGCCACCATGATGGAAGGTAGGATGCGCTGTGTTGTGGTTGACTGACTTCAGGCAAGGTCTGAGCAGAACAGCATTGAGCAATGTGTGCAGCTGGTTTTGTCTCGGTTCCAGAACCCGGTGGCCAGGGGTTTGCAAGCAGAAATGCTGCAGTTTGCTTGCAGTGGACCAGGGCTCAGACTAATGGAATCAAACCAGAGGACTTCTGCCCGGTGCACAATCTACAGAGCTCCCAGCTCCTTAGGGGAAAGAACAGCCTGAAGTGTTTGCAGCGAGCCGAGATAGAGCTCAGAAAGAGCTTGCAGAGCAAATAAGTTGGGAGAGGAGATAAGGTTTTCTGTGCTGGGTTCCTGGGACTACGCTGATTAAACATTTACAATGGAAACTTGTTTTCTGAAATTGACATGAGACAGGAGAGGTCATTGACAGAGTTATCCACACTCTCATTTTCAGTGAGCTGTTTAAAATTTTTACACAATCTTGTAAGATATTTGTATACCTGCAATTTACATCATATTGGGGAGGTGGGGGGTGCAGCAAATTTGGTCCAAAAAGTGTAATTTTATGAGGATGTCATTGCAACCGAATGTGAGCAATATGAGGGGAAAATCCAGGCCTCTTGGCTACTGATTCAGGGTCTTATCAAGTTAAAAAGAATTTTGTGTTTCCTAAATGCTTTCTCTGTGCAGTGGTTCTTAGCAAAGCATCAAATGATTATCTGCTGATTCTCTTCCTGTATTCGACATTAAGTATAAGGGGGAGCTTTCCTGGAGGGGAGAAGCTATTTAAACTCTATTTTATTCTTGCAAATGATCCTTCCCAGCTCGAGACAGTGACAGGCAAGCTTGCCTCAGAAAAGCAGTAAGCTGATCAGGAAAGAAGCAGGCAGCTCTATGCTGGCTTTGATTTTCTGTTTTCACACTACAGGATGGTGCAAAACTCCTGGCCTTTCCTAAGATGACAGGCAGAAATTTGTCCCCAGCCTGGATTTCACAATGCAGAAACGAGTGCATAATGGGTCTCAAATCAGCCATGAAAATGGCACAGAGGCCACCTCTTAAGCCAAGGTCTGTCCTACAGATTTTAAACGTTCCTTAGAAATTCACCAAAATGGAATAAGGCAATGATGGTGTAAAAAGAAAAACAGCAGTGGAGCCTGTACTTATTTGGCAGAAATGAATTCTTTTTGCTTTCACTGTCATCATGTCAAACGCTGTTAATGTGATTTGGGGGAGTGAAGGATCCTGGAGTCAACACCCACAGCTTTTAGAAAATAGCCTTGAAGGGGAGACCGGGTCTCGTTTTTGTTATGGAGCCTGGTCTTGTTTGCAAAGGACTCTTTAGCTAGTTCTTTCAATACAGGCCCGAACTGCTAATGCTCTGAGATTAAATCATTAATTCAAAATAGATTTAATCTTTGAATAACAAGGCAAGGCAAACAGAAAGTGTATTATTTATGTACTTTTTGATTAAATGTTCATGTAGACTGTCATCAGAAAAATAATCTTTCCTATAGAGATACACTCTATTTCTCCAGCTAAATTTCATATAGTATTTCTTAAAAATACAGCTGCACACATTCTGATCCGATTTCCATCTTACATACAGAATCAGAAAGGCTTTCATTTTACTTCTTGCCTTGCAAGCTGCAGAACTAACGGGTCTTCTCTTTTACAGGCAGTACCATGTCTTGAGGTTCATTAATGATTCTTCTGGTAATTTGGTCTATTGTGCCATCTCAGAATGTCAGTGCAAAGCCCTGTGATAAGCTTATCTGGGCTGCCTAAACTGAAATGAGAACTGTAACAAAGACTTGTGCTGGAGCTGAATTAGCACTATTGCACTGGGTTAGCCAAATTTATCTAATGAAGGATGTTATCTTAGCACTGGTATCAATTGGAGGTGACACTGTGAATATAGTTGACTTCCATCAGATCATTGCAAGAGGAATTGGACAGGTGTTCCCAGTGGTTTAAAAATTTAAGTGGAAATACTATTTTTTCTACCTGTAGTTTCTCTCTCCAAGCTTTCCAAGCTTTTTATCTACATGGTTCAGGGATCTTAGAAAAGCAGGAAGGAACCTTAGCCTAGAATCAATTTGCCTATCAATAGCCTTACAACTTAGTTAACAGTCTTTTTGACAATATATGTTAATGTTTATGATATTTCAACCCTGAATTTCACCTTTGAATTGGCCTTAGTCTGAAGATGTTGGGTAGCCGTTATTGCCACTTAATTCATCCCTTGAGAAAACCAGGCTGTTACATCTAGCTCAATAACCTTGGAAAGAAAAGAAGTCCCCTCCAAGGTACCCTAAAATCCTACCCTCTGCTGAAACATCAGTGATTTCTGAGATTGTGCCCCCAATATCTAGTTAGTTAAAATGAGGTCCGTTCTCACCTCATCCATGTGTCTCACACACACAATAGTCCACACACACACACACACACACTTCTAAGAGAAGGTGTGTTTGCTCTTGGATGTGCACTCACATGGCTGAAGTGTTTTTGTCTGCAGCTCAGAGAAAGCCTGGCCATGGCAACTTTTCAAAGCCACTTCCCCAATCTGTGTAGAGCAAGGGTAAACAAATATTCAGCAGAATGGCTTGTAGTTTAGTTTTGTGCTCTCATTTGTGCAGAACAGGATATGGGCTCCATTCATTTAATGCCTATTGCAAATCTTGCTGGTAGGTGAGGAATGTTACTTCCTTCCCTGGTCATTCTAATATCTTGGGAGGAGATACATAATACTGCAGGAATCTCAAGAAGATTTGGCTCCATAATTCACTTCAAATATTATTTTTAAGGGACTCTGATTTGTTGCTGCTTGCATTCTTTATTTTTTGGCAGTGGTTGGTATTGAGTTGCTTCTTTCCTGAACCAAAGTCACGTGATATGGTGCCTTCCCTACTATGAATGTGAAGGGAAAGATGGTGATGGTGATCAAAGGGGTTATTTGCTGAGAGTTGTATGTATTAACTATGCTTACAATGCAGGATAAGTGGTTAGGGCAACAATTCAAGGACGAAAATTTTTCCATTTATTATCATTTAAGGATAAAATAGTGGTGTTTTTTTTTCTTTTTCTGTACTGCCTAAGGTAAGTGAAATAAATTCAGGGCTTCTTAGCTTATCTATTTGTGAGGCTGCCTGGAAAGTACTTTTCTTGTCCATGCAAAACTAACTAAAGGTGTTTTGTGTTTTGATTCCATATTCAGGCTCTTAGCACAATATTAAAAAGATACATTTTTGGGCACCATGGTTCCATACTAAGTAACATTTTTTTTTTAATTAACAAGCATAACTGTAGGAGATTTTTGAATTTAATTGCAATGTTTATGATATTTACTACTGAAAATAATCTGCAAATACGTGTATTCTGACACAAAATCAGAAAAATGGTGAAATGAGATTTGAACTCAAGTCCATTCAACAACACATGTATTTAGTGCTCTAGCAACCTTTTCTTTTTACTTTGTGTAGAGGTGGGTGTTTTAACATAATTGAACAAGAGAATTTAGCTTATTTGGTTGCATATTCTGATGCTATTTTCAATATGATTCCTGGTAGAAACATACTTTTAATTCCATAGTAATGACTTTTCAGTCCAAAATCATTATTTAAATTCTAGATTATTTGTTTATGTTATTGTAATGAAATTTATAAATAGTAATGGCTGTTATTTCTATCTAAAAATGGGTATAAATATAACATTTTATAAATATAAAATATAACATTTTATAATATTTGGAAAATTCTTTGCCCTGGCCAAAAAGGAACACAAAGTATCTTGAAGGTGGAGTTATTCATTTCATAGTTAGCTGAGAAGTTTTAAAGGGAACGCTTCTGAATCCCTTCCCCTAAATGATAAAGTTACTTTAGAAAATCTAAGCATGTGAGATTCTAATATATGTTCCATCACTTATGTAATTTCTCCTTTTCCTCAGGGCTCTGTGTCAGGAAGAGACTCTTTAGATTAGAAGTCTTCATCCTCTTCCAGGGATCAGTTGTAAATCTCTAAAAGGAATATGTAGTCTTTTTTTTTAAAGTATCAAAATAAACCATCCTAGAACATTGGAAAAATTCTTTCTGTTGCCTTTGACACATGCTCTATCTGTATTTCAAGTAAACATGTTACAGAAGGTCACCAGACCTCAATTTCTGTGTCCCTGAATGTTGGTTACCTGGTTACTTGGAACATGTTTTCTCATAGGAACAGTGATCAAAATGATGAGTAAAGTATTGCAGTTGTCCACCAAATACCATTAGCCCAATATCTAGCAGAGATACTAAAAATTTTCATGAGCTATGAAAAGAACCATTTGGCTACCACAGTAATTATCCAGAACAGAGTTATGGCATTGTGTTTTTAATTTCAAATAGTGCTGCTTGAGTTTGTGCTTAGATTTCTATCATTATTTATCTGTTACCTTTTTCTTTAATTTTTATTAATACAGAGAAGAGATGTCGTGCATTTCATAGTTGCAAGTCTAAGAGCATAACCATAATATGCCCCCCCCAATCTCCCTCCTTCTTTCCTATTTTTTTCTTTAATTTTTTGCAAAAGCATAATTTCAATCAACTCTATAATCATAGGCTTAATGTACCACTAACCATAATATTCAATGAACTTGTAACAAAGATATTTTAATTAGAGGACAATGAGACCCTGGAGAGAAAAACTGAAGGCATTTTCAAGCAAATTTTCAGAAGTTTTTGAAACTATTGACACTGGATTTTTCAGTTTTGTTCGGTTTTGCCTCCATACTGTGGCTTACGTATTGTTTATCAATTTTATTATAGGAACTACCCTGAAATTGTGAGTAAGTCATTACACAAACTCAGAGATGGAATTAAAAGAGGGAGAGATAATTTACTGAGATAACTGAGTAGAAGTTGGAAGGGAGATAAAAGGTAGGGATTAAAATGGATTTGGGTTAGTATATCTGAAGAAATTCATGAGAAGTTAGCTGAACAAGGAAGGGGTCATAGAGAAAAGGAAATTGGGGAGCATGGTAAAA